GCGCCATCAAGTATGCTCTTGGAAAGGCTTGGGGAAAAGGCATCAGGAAGTTGTAGATCCAAAGTGTGACTCCAAAGATGTTGTTAACTGGATTAATGAGGGCAGCGACCTTCTGAGACCGTCCAGAGATATCATTGACGATTGCATACTCTGGCTCCAAAGAGAATCGGAGGTGAAGATTACTCACATTTCTTGTGATCAAAATGCATTCTCTCACCTCCTTTTCTATTATCCACTTCATCATGGGTCACACGAAATTTTAAGAAAAATTCACTATTGTAGATGCTTTACTATTGGTACTGGTATTGATTGGTATCTTATAATTTTTTATATATATATACAAATTCGGTTTAAAACAATATTACATAATAAATAAACAAAAAATTGAAGGATACATTTATGGTAATTGAAATGGGAATCAAATACTAGTCAATGGTAATGGATTTTGGTAAAAGTATTTTGCATGTTTAGTAATAGGATGGAATTAGAATAATTACCAATATTGTTGTTTGGTTATATATGATCCTATAATGAGAATAAAGGTTTAAAAATACAAGAATAAAAAATTAAGACAATTTATTCTAATATAAAGACATCCAAAGCACCAATATGAACAAAAAAAAAAAAACATAAAAACAAAAATCTAAAAGCACTCCAATTAGGAGGATAATAATGGAGTGAAACCCTTATTTTATTAGGGAGTGAGTTTTTAAATTAAAGGGTAATGAAATCACATAGTAGTGTTCTAGAAATATATCAACCAAACAATAACAATGACTTTTATTCTCATTTCCGATAGCTAAACTCATGAAACAAACACACCCTTAGATATATCGTTAACAAAATGGTTCCATTGTTCAAAATATTAAAAATACAAAGTGAAATTAATAAAAAAGAAAAAAAAAAAGAGATAGAAGAGAAATGATTATGCAAAAGTAACATAAATATCAAATTGATGTCTTTAATTGTTTGGGTAAATTATGCTGTGGAAACGTGTCCCATCGATCCATATCAATAATTCCTATACTGTAAATTCATAATTATAGAGCTATATGTTCATAGTTTTATAAATATATGTTCATAATTATAAAGTTAATGTTCATATTCTCTATTGTTGAACTCTGTTTTCACAAATCACAAAATTATATGTTCATAATTTGATAACTATATAGTTTAGAAATTATGAATCTACAGTATAGAAATTATGAATCTAGTGTATTTAAATTATGAATCTACTGCATTAAAATTATAAATCTACGATTTAGAAATTATGAATCTAAAATATAGATTTTATGAATCTACGCTATAGAAATTATGGATTTACAGTATAAAAATTATAGATATTGAACCTTGTTCACTTAACCTTCCAATTGTTTGAGGCTCTAAAGAAGCCTAAACATTATATCAATGGTCAAAAGTTATGTGGTAAAGACAGTTGGCAAGAGTTACGGATTACACCATATTTGACTAAATGCTATTGCAAGAGTGCAAGACAGCCGAAAGGTGACTTGGTTGCATTGCGTAGTGTTCGGGTACATATTATTTCATTGGTTTAAGTTTATAAACAAATTCAAAGTCATAAAACATAAGTTTTATTTCTTTTTTTAATATATAAAATCAATTTATATAAATAAAATTGTTTAAAAATATTCTCTTGAAATCTTTTAAATAATACTCACATTAATATTTCTTTTAATATATCATTAAAATAATTGTGTAACAAACCTATAATAATAACTTTATAAATTTGTAATAGTAATTTGATAACTCATAATGGTTAATGAACTACAATTGTGATTTTATCAACCTTATCATGTCACGTTTTTGGACAAAACGGTGGCCATTTATATACAAATGACATTCTGTAACATGCCATCTCCTCATTCTACCTTGGATCATGCTATAAGAATAAAACCTTTATACCAAAATTCTTTACCATTTAATATGGCAATATAAGTGGATTCTTTTTTAAAATGAAGTGAGGTTGGTTAATAGATAACCGATGAATAATATGCACTGAGTTATTCAATATACCACAATTCAAGGATTAAAAAGACCATTTTCCCTTTTGAAAATTTTGGAATTTGAAAGTGTAGTAGGAACAATTAGAGTAAAATTAATTATTTTGAAGATAAATAAGGGAAATAATAGTTGCATCATGTGACCGTGAACTAGGGGCGAAGCCAGAAAACTTGAGTTGAGGGGCTCGATGTAGTAGAGAAAATTTACAATGTTAGTCGACATTATAATTAATTGTACCATATTATTATATATATACCATACGTTATTGTGATCGATTATTATTGATAATAATTTCTAATTATACTATGTGTAATAAAGTATGAAATACATGATTATATGAGTACGATCGGATCATTACTTTAGAAATTTTTCACATAACACAAAATATAAAAATAACAATAACAACAACATTTATTTAAATATAGATTGTCACTTAACATCAAATAAAAAGTTTTGTCAATTATTTTGTCACCAAATTTTTTCATAATTAACTAATATTCATTTTACTGATTAACTAAATATTTCAAAATTTGAGAGATAAAAGACAAAAACCAAGACAAATTAAATAATCAATATTAATTTTTGTCAATTTCAAAACTAATCAATTAAACTAGTTAATGTACATCTTAAAATGTAAATAAATAATTAAAACACACAATAAATCACTAATTAATTAATCAACATAACTAATAAAATCAAAGTATATATCTCAAATTTGGAGATTTTTAAAATTAAAATGTATACTTGATGCCCTTTATTGTAAAAATCTTGATAAAAGAAATAAGATAATAAAGAAAAATGGTGACTTTAATTATTTGATTTATTTATTTTTATTTAGTGAAAAATGGTGAACTTTAATATATATTTTGAGTTTATTTAATATAAGCATAATAGATTGTTTAAAAAAAATAGACGAGGGCTAAAAGTGTATTGTATCGCTACTATATTAATATATACATACATACTCCGTATTTATTAAAAATTTAGGGTGAAGGGTAAGGGTGGGGACCCAGGCCCCCCTATCTCCTAAGGTAACTCCGTCCGTGCCGTGAACTATATGTATCACTATAATTTAGATGGGAATGCTCTGAGCATAGCTCATAAAGTGTAAGATTTAGTCTAATAATTGAGATAAATTTTACAATTTAATTTATTTTCTTCACGAATTTCTAGGGAGGATTAGGTTGCTTCAATAATCCAATCAAAGACACACAACTAACTGAAATAGGTTCTACATAGCATGTAGAGATTGTAAAAATAACTTGTATTATTAAGCTAGAGCATATAAGTTATTTATACACGTACAAAAGAGATAAACTATGTAACAAAAATAACAATAAGGAACTATTCTATTGGATAAAACTAAGCAACAAATATATGATAATAAATTAAAGAGAAAAATTGCATCTTTAGTCCCTGAGTTATAACCAAGTTCCGACTCAGTCCCTAAGTTATGGCAGTATCCGAGTTTAATCCCTCAGTTATAAGCAAAGTGACGAGTTTGGTCCCTAGCGTTAATATTATGTCTGTAGCTAACAAAAAAACTTAAAATAATTTAATAATAGAGGGTTAAAAAATAAGAATTTCAAATTATAATCCCCTTCTTATGTTGAAACCCATTGCACAACCGTCATTATTTTCTTCCTATATCTAACGGAAGTGGGAGATTTCAGAGCTTGGGGAAGAAAAAAACTTCACTTGTAGGTATAAGAAGAAAAGAATGACTGTTGCGCAACGAGTTTCAACATAAAAAGATGATTATAATTTGAAATTTCTATTCTTCTCCTCTATTATTAAATTGTTTTTAAGTTTTACGTTAGCTGTAGACAGAATATTAACGCTAGGGACCAAACTCGCCACGTTGTTCATAACTGAGGGACTAAACTCAGAAACGACCATAACTTAGGAACTAAATTGAAACTTGGTTATAACTCAAGAACTAAAAATGTAATTTTTCTTAAATTAAATCATTAATCCTTAACCCACCTCACATGACTCAACCTCTTAAGTATTTGAATTAGAACTTTCATAGTAAGTTGATACCGACAATCTTGAAAATACCAAGCATGTAGTTTCCTCTCTCCACACACTCTAGTGACAAAAAAGGTGAAAGTTTTATTGGGTAGCTCAACTGGTTATAGAGGTGAAAATTTAAAAAAATGACCAGGGATTGAGTCTCACCCGTGGCAATGAGCAAAGGTACCATTTTTGTTCATTACGCACAAACGCCCCTGCATTCTGATCCAATAGTTTGTAAAAGGATAAATTAAATTATGATGACTTAATTGATCAATCTAGACTAAATTTTTGTTCATTACGCATAAGCTAGAGGTCTCCTCGTATTAAAAGGTTATTCCCAGACACAATAGTTGGTGAGATCTTTTGTAACAAATTCCACCTCTATAACCAGTGAATTTAGCTACCCATGCTAGCTCGCTTTGAATCTATATATGACAGGAGCATGGCCGCGTCATTTGATGACTCAAGAATATCAAGTCTTCTCTGAAAGAGGTCCTACACGGCTACATACCAATCATGACTCAACCCTCCTCTAATTCGGTTCAACAATTAAAAAGACCGAATTACCCCCACCAATATTTGATTTAAAAAGTCGAACGTCTTTCTGGCCAAATTTCACCAGCAATTTGGCCGGGAGGACCAAATCTGCTAAAAAAATGATAGTTAAAGGACTAAATTGTTAATTTTAAAAGTCACGTACCCAAATTAGCACATCCTCTATAGTCACAGGACCAAAAGTGTAATTTGCTCCCTAAATTTATACCCAAAATTTTGCATATTAGCATAAATTATGACTTTACATAAGCATATTTAGATTTACATATAAAATTTTATATGCACCTCAGATTATAAAAAATTTTATGACATGAATGAATTCTGATAAAAATAAGTTGTTGTACACATGATAGCTAGCGCACTGTCATTGTTGTGGGAAAAGCTAATGCAAACTTTTCGACGTCACGTGGATACAGCAGGTAAGTAGGTGACAATGTGACATCATCTGTTAATGTTTTATAATAACCTGGTTATTCTTATTTCCTATAATCATTTAATTTACTTATTTTTAATATTTTAAATATAAATAGTTAAATGTGATTGGCACAAAAACATAGTATGTTATAAATTTAAAGATAATATCTTATATAATTTCAAATACGGATTAAAACATTCGTCTTATTAGTATACCTATCCTTGATAGGCTTTGGTATAATTTTCTTTAAAAATCTTGTATAATATATCATATATATATTTGTAAAGATCTTAATCATCTTAAATAAGCAAATATCAATTTTAGTCCCACGAGTATTTGTAAAATGACAGTTTTGGTCCACATGTTTAATTCCTATCAATTTTCTTCCACGACTATTGTTTTAATATCAATTTTCATCCACAACTATTGTTTCAGTGCCAAAATTTATCACACCGGTCACCCCTCTATTTCAGATATACCGAAATATGAAATTATTAAGGATATTTTTGTCTTTTTGAAATTAGGATCCCAATAATTTGAGCATTAATAAAGGAATTCGAGCCCTAAGATTGATCCCAATTTTCAATTTTCCTCCTCAAATTAAGGTAAGATGAGGATGTGAACTGTGAATTAGTATCAATCTTAGGACTTAAATCTCATTATTCATGCTCAAATTGAGATCTTAAGTTGAAAAGGATGAAAATACCCTTCAAAATTTTAAATTTTAATATGTCTTAAACAAATGATTGACCGGCGTGATAAATTTTGGCACTAAAACAATTGTCGTGGATTAAAATTGGTACTAAAACAATAGTAATGGATGAAAATTGGTAGGAATTAAACATGTGGACTAAAACTGTCAATTTGCTAATACTCGTGGGACCAAAATCGGTATTTGCTCAATTTAAGTATCATATTTGAAAAAGTAATTAAATTTGGTTCTACACATGGCCGGATTTTGGGGCGTGCAAGATGGGCAACAGCATAGGGTTTCAGTTTTTAGAGGGCATAATATTTACACCGTTCATACTTATTTAAAATAAAAATCATACATTTTAGGGATAAAGTACAAATAAGCCACTGAACTATTTGAGAAACATCAATTAAGCCATCAAACTCAAATAACCCTCAAATAAGCCATTGAACCTGGAAAAAAAGAGTAAATAAGCCATTGAACCCTGAAAAAAAGAGCAATTAACATTTTTTACAGGTAAACTCAAAGTTTTTGCTGGTTGAATTGCCAAATATTTATTTTATTTACGTTTATTATTATTATTTTGTATTAATATTATCCACTTGGATAGTATTATATTTTAAAATAATTATAATCAAAATAATTTTGTCTTGTCGAGATTTGATTTATTTATTTATTATTATTTTTTCATTGGATCTTTTGTTTAAAAGATAATAATAAATAAATAAGTTAGATCTAGAGAAGACAAAACTACTTTGATTATAATTACTTTAAAATATATTACTATGTAGGTGGATTATAATAATAAAAAAAGTAAATAAAATAAACATTTGGCAATTCAGTCAGCAAAAACATGGAGTTAACCTGTTAAAAATGTTAATTGCTCTTTTTTTCCGGGTTCAATGGCTTATTTGGGAGTTATTTGAGTTCGATGACTTAATTTCTTTTTCCTAAATAGTTCAGTGACTTATTTGTACTTTATCCCTACATTTTATAGTATTAGTTTTAAAGATTGCGCTTATATTTTTAGTAGGGTCTTTTTTTTTTTTTTTTTTTTTTTTTTAAGAATGGAGTCACAAATATAAGAAAACCACCCCTGATTACATACACAAAAATTATTGTATTATAAATTTAAGGACATTCCCTCTTTTCACTAAACAATATAAAATTACAAGATAAATCATAATATAGCACTTATAAACAAGAGAAGAATATTGAATTTTATTTAGTAGCTAACGTGATTGAAGGGTTTTCCCTATCAGTGTCCTCAGAAAATAAAAAAGTTTGTAGAGTTTAGGAGATCAGAACAATAAAGGTTGTAAAAGTACAATAATAAAGAAAAAATAATTTGTACAATTTAAACCGAATGGCTGTATAGTAGAGTTTAAATAGGAGAAAAAGTATAAAGTTTAAAAGTTTTAAGATAAGGATTTCAAGGTAGACACGATTTCAAAATTGTTCATAATTGTGAATGTGGAGTTCAAAAATTATGAATATAGAGTTGTGAACATAGAATTTTATAATTATGAACATAGAGTTCTGTACTTGTGAATATAGAGTTCAATAATTGTGAATATGAAGGTTAGTGTTGGTCCCGATAGAGTGAGATGAGAGTCTAGAGGGGGGGGGGGGGGTGAATAGACTCTTTTCGTTAAAAGCCCTAAACGTCACCTTTCGGTGTCTTGGCGCAGCGGATAAGATAGATTCGTTTTAAATACTTTGCACGAGTTTGCGTAATTAGACGAACTTTTGGTAAAGATAAAGAATGGTATGAGAGCAAAAAGAAAAGCGTAAGTAAGGAGATAGAGAGGACACGGGATTTTATAGTGGTTCGGCCAATGTTGCCTACTCCACTCTTCTTCCACAACTGTTGGAAGGATTGCACTATCACTCTTAGTACAATTACACAAAGACTTCCTTGATCACTAAGCTGGACAGCCTTCGTAGGTTTTTCAACTCCTTGAGTTTACTCCGCCTCTATCAACTTCTTCTCCTGAGTTGAGGTTGGTAGAAAATGATTTCTTGAATTCTCCAACGAAGAGATCTTGACTCTGAGATATGATAGCTTCAAACTGATGTCAAGATTTCCTTGAGGTGTAAGACAAGTGATTCTCCAAGTAACTTAACACCTCAAAAACTGGTTCACAAAAGCTTTTTGTAAATTGTAGACGTTTCAAGAGCTTTTGTAAGTAAGTCGAGTGATAATGAACCAGCACCTTCTTAGTTGATGAAGGTGGGTTTATATAGGTGATGAAAATCCATCCGTTGGAGGGAGATGAGATTTTCGAACCTTTTAACCATTAGACAAGGACCGGGGAGCTTCATGCATTAAATGCTCCATCAATGATGTTGTACCATGTAGCCATTGAAGGTATGGAAAGCATTAGGGTTTTGTCCTTTAGCTCCAAGAGATAGTACATCTTCATTTAATGCTTCTTGAAAAGTGAGTCCCATAAAATGAAGTCCTTATTGTCCTAGGATGTTGTCAAATTAGACAGGTGAAACATTCTTCTCGTTGTAGAAGAGAAGTGATGTTTAATAAAGATCGTCTTTTACAAACACTGTCCTTTCGTGTTTGTTGACAACTCCTGCTTGACTCTCGTTGTTGTTCTTCATGTCTCGTGTCTTCTTTCGCCTTGGAGACCCTAACATCTAGTCATACCTCATTTTCGTGTGTTTGTCTATCTTAACACGAATTACAGAGGAGTTATGGCAACTCTCGTCTAGGACGAAAGCAGCGAAACAAAAACAGCTAATGGTTAGGGGTCTACTTTTCTACATTACATTGGTATCATCAAAATCCTAATACAATGTTCCTAACAATTTCCCCCTTTTTGATGATGCCAAAACCTATACTCTTCTTATAAGGCTGACAAAAGTTCCATAAAGATTTTTCTTATATAAAAACAGCCATACTCGAGAGTTTACAAGTCTTTTTCTAGATAAGAGCGTTTAATAAGCGATATAAGAACAAGTAACTCAAACAGGTGACACGAGATGTGTAACAATGAGAGTTTCATATATAAAGATGTAATCATTACAAAAACTTCATAAAAGGAATATAACAAAAGTTAACTTACATTTCTAAAAGCTTTGATTTCTGTTGTTCAGCTTCCTTGAACTCTTGGTCATCCTTTTCTTTTTGTTGCTTTAGCGTCCTGTTGAAATCAATTTTCTCATTGATTTTTGCTCTGAAGACTTTGATAGGATTAGTCCTGACAAGCTCTTCATGTTCTCCTCTGATGTTCAGACCAGTGTAATTGTTGTAGGCTTCCCGAATGTTGCTTCCTTCAACAATACCATACTTCCACCACGAGATCAGTTCAAACGAATTCATGCCTTCTTGGTAGCTCTTTCCTGATTCCTTGTGCACTTTGAAAGCTGCATTATGCATGACATTTTGTGGGGAGTCTTTGGTTACATTCGAAAGGTCTTCAATGAGATTCCCGATCCTTTTTCTTTCCATTGCTTCATCTTCTCTTCTCTTTCTTTCTTCATCATGCTTCCTCCACAGTTCTTTGTTTGCTCTTTTGATTCTCTCATTTTGAGTGCTCATGTGGTTTTGTCTTGTGTGGTTGTCTTTTGTTTTTAACCAAGTGGGATTATTGCAACCCTCGAATCGTTTGCCACTGCCTTCTTCATATGGGACGAAGTCCACAAAGTTTCCTATGCCATCCTTAGTTACTTTGTTGTCTCTCATAAGCTTTTGCCTTAATTTCATCTGTTCTCTCTTTGGCAATCCTGTGAAGATGTATTTGGCTTCAGAACCAAATGATTGTCGAGGCTTGATTTGTTTGGAGGATTGGTATCGACCATATCTTGACTTCGAGGAGTGATGACCACGAGACTTGGAAGATGGATTCGGGTTCCTTTGGTCATAGTCACTTGGTGTCCGAGAGGGAGAGTGTCGTGCTTCACGAGCTTGATCTTTCGTGCTATCTCTCGGCTGATCATCATCCTTATCTTTGTCATCATTTCTCTTTTCCCCCTTTTTGGCATCAGCACAGGTGGTAGGAGGAATGGAAGAGACCTTGTTGATTGCAAGCAAGATATCCTGAGCATATCCGAGAATTTGAAGTGCATATTCGCCCAGTTGGTACGAATTGTCCTGATATGTGTCAATCTTTGTACAGGCCAAATCCACACGCTCTTTGAGACCAAAGTGAGAGTGTTTGATTTCATGCTGTTGTCGCGCAACTTTGTTCAAAGAAGCTTCGAGATCATAAAGTTTCTTTGTCATTCGCTCAAGGATCTTGTGATCTGATTGGCTTTGTTGCTGCGGTTGAGGCTGTGCTGGAGGTGGAGATCGAGGTTTGGA